GCCTGGTTCCCCCTCCATCCTGGGTCTGGGTCCTTCCTGATAAATCACCTGGGGGCTCCCCCCATGCCCTGGGCCTGGGTTAGGGATTAATCACCTGAAGGGAGGGCCTGAGTCACATCCAGGGCTTGAAGACCGAGCAGGGGCACAGCCGGGCTCCTTAAGGTGAGCACAGGCTGCCAAGTGAGCCATGTGGACTGTCCCCAAGTGGGTGTGACGTGGACAGGCTCCACGCTGTGGAAGCACTGGGGGTCACCGGGCACAGCCTCTGGTACCCACGATGGCTGTGGGGGAGTAAGTCTCACGAATAGGAACTGGCATTTTGGTGCCTGGGCAAGAATGGTGTATTTGTGTTTGTCATTTTAAGTAGTTTTGCCAAAGTACAAATAGAAGTGCTTATGTGTGTTGTGGAAAGGGGGAATGAAATCGTATCTGTGTGTGAGAAGAAACTCAGGCTTCTCTGATAAGCACCGGGCTCAGGGCAATGTCTCCCCAGGGGAAGGACATGCTGGGGCCTGGGTGCATTGGGGGGCACAGAGACGAGCCAGAGCCGGTGAGGAGGGGCCACGACATTTATTGAACTCTGAGGAGCACAGAGGGGCTCCCTGGCGCGTCTGTGCTCTCCAGCCACCCTGGAAGACGCTCAGGGGACCCCGATGCCTTCCCAGCACGCGGCATCTCTGTGGAGGCAGGGCCCCTAGCAGGCTCCGCCCTCCACCCCACTCCTGAGGTCAGAGCCCAAACATCCTCCACAACCCTCCTCTCCTGGTGCTCCCCGTGGGTGGTGCTCCCCGTGGGTGGCAGGAGAGCCACCCCTGATTCCAGCACACAACCTGGGGCAGAAACTCGAGCCCAGATGGCACTGGCTCTGAGGGGAAACTGAGTCAGCACAGCAGGGCTGTGTGAGACAGGAGGGGTCTCAGGCAACAGTTCTGGACAGTTCTGGATGGCGGAGGAGAATGGTAGACAGGAAGTGCTGTCGGAACGCCGACCCAGCTCCTAAGACAGACAGCTACGCTGACACCAAGGAACAATATTTCTAAAATAATTAACACTGCATGCCGGTGCATGGGCAGACTGGAGCGTTGTAAGTCATAAATAACACTGAAGGGGGGACTCGGCGGAGCCTGCAGCCTCTGTGGAGAGTGGCTGTGTGCACGGGTGTGTTTCTCCATGGCATACGTCCTTTTGTTAATTAAGAAAACCTCTCTATTGTATCTGTGAGGCAGGGAAGGTGGGCTGTACAGAGTGCGAGAGCCGGGGGCCTTGGGCTCTGGCAGGTGAGTGACGTCGGGGGAGGGTGCTGGGTAGGATTAGAGCGTGCCCATCCCGGTGACCTCGGACGTCAGCCTAGAACAAAGGCAGGAGAGGGAGAGACGGTCACAATGAACATCCTCATCAGTGGTCAGACGTGAGGCTGGGCTGTGTGGCCTCTGTGCTCGCTGGGACAGGCTGTCCCGGTCAGCTCAGAAGTTCTGAGCTGGAGACCACAGCAGAGCACACACGCCTCTTCTCCGCCCTGGTCCCCGCATGCCCGTCACCACGTCAGGTGTGTGAGCCAGCCCTGCATGGGGGCTTGAGGCCTTCCCCGTACGGAGCCTCCCATGCAGCCCCGGGTCTGCCCTTGGGGGTGCACAAGGGCTTCCCAGTCTCACACTTGGCATCTGAGAAGGGGCTTTGGTTGCCACAGGAGTGAGCGTATGTGGGTAAGAGCCATCTGGCCCCAAGCACAGGTCCCAGTGGGGCTGTCAGTGATGTGGTCGGGCAGGTGGGAGCCTCCCTGACCAGCCCCATGCCCAGGCTTGCCCTGGGTTTGCCAACAATGCGCTTTGCTCAGCCTCCCGCCCATGGGCCTGCAGCCACAGGGATGGAAAGAGGCCCAACCTGGCTCTGGATCAAGGCAGAAGCCCAGGGAGGCATCAGTGGGTAAAGTCAGGGGGGCTCCTGGTCCTCTCCAGGCAGCCCCTCACCCACTCACTGAGCGCGCAGATAGCAGAAGGGCCCACACAGGGCTGTGTCCACCCGAGACCCCTCCCCTTCCCTCCCCTCCCCTTTCCTCCCACAAGCCCAGCTTGGGGCTCTTCCAGGAGGACATCCTTGGGGAGGGAGGAGGGATGTTCCTTACATCAGAGGCGGGGCTGGTGGTGCAGCGTGCCTGGCGGGGGGGCTGGTGGTGTGGTGTGTCGGGCAGGCGTGGGCGCTGGTGGTACGACCTGCCTGGCGGGGTGGCTGGTGGTACAGCCTGCCTGGCAGGGGTGGGGCACTGGCCTGAGGCCAAGTCGGGTATAGTCACAGGGACCCAGGTGGCTTCAGACCCTCCCATGTGCACCAGGGACCCACGGAAGGAAGCGGCCCGCAGAGTCCTTTCCTGCCTTTCCCTACACTTTTCCATGAGGATGAAAAAGGAGGCAAAACAGCAAAGTCCCCAAACGTTGGTCTTTCTGGAGAGCTCTGAGTGGACACGAGTCAGGTCTTCCAGCATAGGTTTGGCCGCCTGTCTGGGGCCACGGGAGCACCAGCCTTCCTCTCTAGCCTCTGGGATCATCCCTGGAGACACTTTGGGTGGGAGGTCGGGAGAGTGAGGTGGCCTCATGTCTACATGAAGGCTGTCGCCATCCCATCCTGTCCCCACTATCCGGCCTGGAGCAGAGGGGACAGAGCGGGAGGCAGAGTGTGGCCCAGACCGTGCCTCCTCCCACCCCCGACTGTCCAGGTGATGTAACGCCAGCTGGCGCGTCCCTTTCCGGGCGTCTCTCAGAGGCCCTTGGGAGCTGCTCACCTGGCGTTGATGAGATACTGGGCAAGGCTGATGTTGGCCGGGGTCCCCGTGATGGTGATCTGACGCTCTGATGACCCTTCAGTGGCGTTGGCGATTTTGATCTGAGCTCCAGACATCTGTCGAATTTCATTGATTTTGGTCCCTTGGCGTCCAATTATGCAGCCTATTAGCTAGAAACAAGGACAGGGGGATTTCTTAGAGAAGAGCCCGAGCCAGCCCCTGAAGACTGTGGGCAGTGTGCCCGAGGGGCCTGTGGGACAGGCCGCCAGCCTTGGACTCTGCCCCAAGCCCTGAGTGCAACACCCTGGAGAGGTCCCGCCCACACCTGCCTACAGGTGGTGCCTGATCAAGGCCACCTGCCCGAGGTCAGGCTAAGAGCACCTGTGCCTCTGCTGGCCCCTCTCAGAGCTGCCCTGCTCCCCGCTCCTGTGGGAGGTCCACCAAGCCAAGAGGCCACAGTCACTCAGCCTGGGCGGTCCACACTGGTCACCCCGGGGTCCAGGAGCGACCCACAGGTGGCAGCCAGGGGCTGAGCAGGGAGGCTCTACCACGGCCTGGCGGCGTCTTCTTGGCCGCATCCCAGGGAGACCAGTTCTGCCCAGACAGGCAGCATCACAAATGCTCAAAAAGAAATGTGTGCTTGAAGCCAGAGCAAAACTCACTGCTGCCTAAAACTTAGCTTTTGCTGAACTTAGGTGAAACTCTGAGGCCATTCAGGCGCCTCCTTTCATTCTCCCTTTGGGACCCCTGTTTAAAGATGGAACACAGTGGCCTCTGGCCAAGGCGGTCATCAAGAATGAGGGTGCTCCTTGAAGTAGCTGAGGGAGGAGGGGGGTGTATGGAGCAGCCATGAGGGGCCTCAGGGACAACTCGGACCCCCAGAGAAGACTGCACAGGAGCCAGTGGCATCTCTCAATGCCCACCACTGGACGGAAGTCCCTTCATGCACGCACAGGCCACCGATGAGAGCTCTGGAGCTTAGACAGGAAAGAGAAGTAGCCAGACCTGTGGCAGAGAGAGCCCGAGACTAGAAGGTACCTGGCACAGGGCGCCAGGAGGGCAACTGGACACACAGGTCCCTGAGGGCCCTCAGGCGGAGTCCACTTCCACCTCCCTTGAGGCTGCTAGGCTGTCAGAACGGTGGTGAAATTGAGTGACAGGAGCAGGTTTCTATCCTTATGCCAGTGAGATGCTGGGTGGAAGGGCTGGGCCGGGCCATGTGGCGGCATGCAGGAGGGACGTCCACTTCCAAGCGTGACAGGGCTCAATCTGTGGTGTGAGCAGCAGCTCCATGGTGGGACACAGCTGCCCTGCCAGCCAGCCCCCGTCCCTGAGGAGACCTACGGTGTCTCAACTCTGTTCACCTTAGAGGCCGTCTCTGCTGGTTACTTAGGAAATGACAGCTGTCTTACTAGACTACAGAACCCTCAGTCTTTGCAGACATCTACAGAGACCCCCACTCTAGAGAATCCAGGGCTGCTGGGAGTCCTCTATCTCCTGCTGCATCTCTGGGCTCCACCCACACCTCTCAGGCCCCACCCACATCTCCCAGGCCCCACCCACATCTCCCAAGGCCCCACCCACAGTCCAGCCCTCTACCTGCTCACACCTGTGTGTGGTGTTCAGTGTGCCCCTGGGGTCAGGAGGGTGCTTTCCTCATCGGCACAAGGCCACATTTACCCGCCTGGCTGCATCCTCCTCCCTGGTGGCAGGGAGATCTGAAGGGCTCATCTCTGATGGGGGCCAGGGACAGCAGCACGGCCGCATGGGGAGGGGGAATGTGGCTGACTCGGTAGCATGACCACAGGTCCCTGTAAGATGCCAACATCCAGGAGAGAGAGCTCCCGGGCTTTCGCACTGCCCCACTTCCTGTACCCCTCCTTGGCCAGCACGCAGCCAGCTTTCCTCCTAGCACTTCCTGCGCTGGAGTGCATGGTATCTGCTGAAGTGCACACCACTGAGAGCCTTGTGCATGTATGCTGTTGGATCTCTCCTCAGAGCCTGCTGGAGGAAGTATCTCCCTGCCCCTCCCGCACAAAGTGCCTACCCTTTTCTCTTAACCATCTGCCCGTCTTCTAACTGCCTCATGCCAGCTGTGCCCTGGCACGCATTCCCCTCCTGCTCTCACCCCGCCCTCTCCCTCTGCTCCCTGCGATGTGCTGCTCAGGGTGCCCCTCTCCCCAGGCTCTGGAGGATGCTGCCTTTGCCACAGGCCTTTCCCCTCCTCTGCACACAGCTGTGGGGTCTGAATGCTGATGGGACATCATTGAGCCACCAAGGCATGCCCACCTCACCACAAATGCCAAGGTGAACAGCACTGTGATTTCTGTACCGGCACTCTCCGCCGTGAGAAGGGAATGTGGGGAGGTCGGACCTCCTTCACCTGCCCTGCCCTAGGCTGGCTGGCTCAGTGAAGGGGAAGATGGCTTCTAGGCTGAGCTCTGCAGCCCAAGGGCACCTCCCACCTGGCCCCACCTGCACCTGTGAACCCTGCCAGCAGTTAGCAGACTCCTCGCCTCCTCTCATCCTCGTGTGCCTCCATTACAAATTCAAAGAAGAACGACAGAAATATTCTGAAATAACGTGGCCCCTCCTAATCAGATGTCAATGCCAAATTCCACTGGAACTGTGGTGACACCTCCCACTGCAGCCTCTCCTCCTAGAGACCACTGTTGGACACCTTAGATTCCTTTCCCCAGCAGAAGGCCTGGCTGATTCTGCAGCTGAGAACCAGGGAAAGGGGCATGAGCTTTGGTGGGTGGGTGACTGTTGCTTAGGGCAGAGTAGGGGTGACCACAGGCACCACAGTCTGCATGGCCAAGAGCAAGCACTGAAATAGGCATCGAGGGAAGCCCACAGTGATCGTCAGAAAGGGAACCAAAGGCCTGGGGCCCCTGGACTGCCCTGTGTCCCCACTGGCCGTGCTGGGGAGCCTGCGAGTCTCAGAAGTCCCTGCCTCCAAGCAATGTCTTTCTGCAGGAACCCGGAGGCAGCATGATCCAACCGTGACCAAGAGACGGACGTGAACGAGATGACAGGCAAGTTCAGAACAAGCACACCATTTTATTTCTTCCTTTTCTCCAAGAAGGTAGCAGGCAGCCACCACGTGAGGAACATCAGCTTTGGGGCAGCCCAGATACATCCCCCATGAAGTCTGGGGGTGCTGGTGAAAGCCCCTGACAGTGCCATCAACAGCTTTTTCCATGAAGAAGCATGGAAGGCTACGCCCAAATGCACTGGGATAAGAGGAAGCTGCCTTCCTTCTGAGAAGTGGGTCTCTTCCCTAGGAAGATCACCAGGAGGAGGATGGGAAGTGAGTGGTGAAGAGCTGGGAAAACCAGCATCCGTCTGTACAAAGGGGACCCCAGGAAACAGGTTGACCAGCTCTCCAAAGATGACTCATCCTCTTAAAGCTCATTCCCGTTTTAAATGAGTGTTTGGATAAGACCAAACCTGGTGTTGGTGAACACGATTCACTAAAGGAGGAAAACCCCACAGTAAAAGCCTGCTGGCTTTACTATCTGGAGGGAAAGACTCAGGAGGATGCCAGAAGCCGCATGCTCAAGGAACCACCGCAGTGAGGGAAAGGGTTGAGGAAAAGTCCCCTCTCTCCAAGAATGCAGGGACCAGTTGGCTGTGCCACCCCACACCTGGGCAGATGGCTCTGTGCTGCTGCCTTTCAAGTTGGGCCAACCTTAGAAATCCTCGGGGATGCCAGAAGGCTGGACCACAATGCTGCCTGGAGGGTGAGCGTCCTGAGCTTCTGTTAGCAGACATGGGGACTCTGTCCCTGACCAGCAACTGGGACAGAAGGTCTAGAGTGCACATTGCCACGAGGGGCTCAAATGAGATGGCTCTTCAGGCGGGTGAGTGGCACCAGCCAGACAGCCTCATGATCCGCTCCTCTGGTGACCCTGCTCTCTTCTGCCTCTTTTTCTCCCGCTCCACTGTCCATCTTCCACACACAGGACTGGTGATCTCTCTGAACTGCCAAATCTGTGCTTCCTATGGTCAGTTTGTATGAAAGGAAGGAACAGGGCTTAGAATTCCTGCCCAGCGGGTGTAAAGGGGGGCAGAACAGTGAAGGTTCCCAAAATCCACAGCTCTAGGGCAGAAAAGGCTGCTGGACGCTCGAGCTATAAGTGGGGCAGCCATCTCCACAGCCCATACAGGGACTCTGCTTACTGCTCTGGCAGCTATCCCTCAAGGACATATGGCCCATGCCCTACCTGGTCTCTCAGTTTGTGGATAAGTCAAGCATTCAGAGAATAGTCCTCACTATCCTCAGGACCCATGCTTACTCTGGGGAGGACTGAGTGTGTTGAGGGGAGCTCGTAAGGCCACATCCTCAGGTATGCTTAAGGCATGAACAGACTGAGGGGTGCTAGAAGAAATCTAGACAAGTCTGTGACATCCAACCAACTTCAGGTCTGTTGGAGCCAACTCATGGAGAATCCCAAACCTCCTAAGGGGCCAGGGCCCATGGAGATAATACTGCGGGTGGGTCCACTCTAGAGCATTCCTGGGCCACCTTGTTCTTCAAGGTTTGACCCATACCAGGGCAGTGCCTCCACAGCAACATGGGTTCTCAGCCCAACTCTCATCTGACTACTGATTAATATCTGAAGTCCCCTTTAGCCTGCTGCTTGTTCAACATATTAGGGATATAAAAGCACACAACTTTTTATGGGCATTAAACCCACTTTAAAAAGGAAAGGAGGGAGAACGCAGATCAAACAGTGGGGTTGGGGTGGTGAAGGCATCACCAAGCAGTGGGTCCCTCTGCACAAAGGACAGCAGAGCTGACAGCCACTTGTGCCTAGTGTTTCCACCCAGGGACAGGCGGGTATGGGGGGCATACTCACATCATTGGGAATGGTGAGCTCATGAGTGCTGGCCGGTGGGCTGGCGTCCAGACCTGGGCATACCAAGGGGACATGGTTAGGCTGGTGGAAGGCTGCTAACAGTCACACCCCAGTGCCCCCACTCTCCTGGTTCAAGTGAGACAGGGCTGTAGAGCTGGCCCAAGTGTGAGGGTCAGCACAGCCCAGAGGGTGAGGACCCTGTGAGCTTTCGGTCTGAAACTCCCACCCAACTTCCTTAGTCCCAACTTCTCTCAAAAGAAGGAAAGAGAGACTTAAGCAGGATATTTTCTTTTTTTTCATTTTGTGCACAGTGTGACTTCACTCCCCTGTCATGTTTGTATGCTCTCTTGTGACACCTTGGAAGGCCACCCTGGTGGGCCCCCGGCTGAAGGGCAGGGCCACCCAGTATGTCTCAGGGTCTCTGTGCAGCACCCAGGGCACAGGCCATGCTGGTCACACTGATGCTGAGTGCCCATTTTCCCTTAGTTCTCAGGAGACCCCACTGGTTCTGAGGCCCACACCACTCTACCCAACAGTGCCCCACCTCCCTGTGACACCCTCTGGCCTGCTGCATGGGACAGCAGATGGCAGAGCACACAAAGTTGCCTCTCATTCCGATTCTGATGTAACTCTGTCCAGAGGCCCCTGCACATAGCCTGGCTCAGACAGCTCAGGCCCACCAGGCAGTTCTTCCAAATTGGAGCAAGGAGATTCAATAGCATCACTGAGCCAAAAAAGAAGTGCTAGGGCCAATGAAAAGCTGCATATTTCTATATAGATATCTTTTTTTGTTGAAGAGTGACGATATGGGTCTAATTGATCATCAAGCCTGAGCTTTTAGATTTACAAATCTCCACTTAGTACCATCAGATAAAAGACAACCTCTCAGAGTTCAAGTCCAAGATTTGCTCTTGCTTGGAGGCTGCAAGCCTCATGAGTGTTGGCACAGGAGGGGCAGGGCCAGAGGCCTGCTGTGCTCTTCATGCTCAGCATTTCCATTTCCTGGACGAGTGGCGGCTCCAACCTGCAAGTCTAATGCTGACACTCTGCTCTTCCCCTTGCAGGCCCCACATGGTTCTTGTGACTCGGATTCTGCAGCTCAGCCTGGGCCCTGGAAACCGCAGGATCCACCCCTCCTAACCATCACAGGCCAGGCTGATGTACCTTCAGAATACCCCAGACTGGGAAGCCCTCCTCCCACCCACATGCTCCCCTGTTGCTGGTTCCTGCCTCTGCTGTGCCCCTTAGCCTAGGTTCCAGACAGACCAGAGGGCTCCCCAAAATGCATGTCCAATGGCAGTAGACTCCCTATGAGCTCCTACTTCCTCACAGCACCTCCTGTGCCCCCCAACTCCATGTTAAAGCCACACAGCTCCTGTTCTTTCCCACCACCTCTGCCCTGCCCCCCGTCCCTGCCAGCCACAGCCTCCCTGGGCCCTGGGTGGGGCAGTCTGTCTACAATGCCACCTCTCATCTTGTCTTATGGTACTGACACCCCCAACCAGAGGATCCTCTCACTGTGACCAGCCAGTCTCCCTGGCAGGGAGTGACCCCACAGGGTAGATGCAGTCCTGTGGGGCCGTCCAGCACAGGAGGGGATCAGTTGGTGCTGAATGAACCAATTCATCTCTAATTCTCCATTATTTTTCTTTTGCACATATAAGCCTAGAGTTTCTGTTCTTTATATTCTTTTAATAAAGATACTTTCAAAACAACACTTATTTGGTTATTCAACTACCTACACACATTCCATAAACAGTGATATTTAAAATGTCACTTAAAAGATTTCCTTGGTCCTGCCTGAGTCCTAGACAGGAATTCCCGAACAAAGTAGACCTTAGATGAACAGAGAGCAGTGAGCCAGACCTGTTGAACTTGGGATATTTTGATTGAAGGGAGGAAAGTATGGGAAATCTTCCTAGGAGGGCACTAAAGTTAAGCAAATAATATAAAGAAATGTCTGCATAACCAGGACATTCATCTCAGGACAGCGTGGCCAATGTGTTCATTCATCTCAGGATGGCATGGCCAATGTGTTCATTCATCTCAGGACGGCATAGACCAGGTGTTCATCCCTCTCAGGAGAGCATGGCTGATGTGTTCATTCATCTCAAGAGAGCATGGCCAATGTGTTCATCCACAGCATGGCCCAGGTGTTCATCCATCTAAGGACAGCATGGCCCAGTTGTTCATTCATCTCAGGACAGCATGGCCAGTGTGTTTCATCCATCTCAAGATAGCATGGCCAATATGTTCATTCACCTCAGGATGGCATGGCTGATGTGTTCATTCATCTCAGGACGGCATGGCTGATGTGTTCATCCATCTCAGGACAGCAAGGCCCAGGTGTTCATTCATCTCAAGACAGCATGGCTGATGTGTTCATTCATCTCAGGATGGCATGGCCGATGTGTTCATTCATCTGAGGATCGCATGGCTGATGTGTTCATTCATCTCAGAATGGCATGGCCCAGGTGTTCATTCATCTCAGGATGGCATGGCAGCTGTGTTCATTCATCTCAGGATGGCAAGGCCCAGGTGTTCATCCCTCTCAGGACAGCATGACCAATGTGTTCATTCATCTCAAGACAGCATGGCCAATGTGTTCATCCACAGCATGGCCCAGGTGTTCATCCCTCTCAGGACAGCATGGCCCAGGTGTTCATTCATCTCAGGACAGCATGGCCGATGTGTTCATCCATCTCAAGACAGCATAGCCAATGTGTTCATTCATCTCAGGATGGCATGGCTAATGTGTTCATTCGTCTCAAGACAGCATGGCCAATGTGTTCATTCATCTCAAGACAGCATGGCTGATGTGTTCATTCATCTCAGGACAGTATGGCCGATGTGTTCATTCATCTCAGGATGGCATGGCTGCTGTGTTCATTCATCTCAGGATGGCATGGCTGATGTGTTCATCCAACTCAGGACAGCAAGGCCCAGGTGTTCATCCATCTCAGGACAGCATGGCTGACGTGTTCATTCATCTCAGGACAGCATGGCCAATGTGTTCATTCATCTCAGGATGGCATGGCCGATGTGTTCATTCATCTCAGGACGGCATGGCCCAGGTGTTCATTCATCTCAGGACGGCATGGCCCAGGTGTTCAGTCATCTCAGGACGGCATGGCCGATGTGTTCGTTCATCTCAGGACAGCATGACCGTTGTGTTCATTAATCTCAGGACGGCATGGCTGATGTGTTCATTCATCTCAGGACGCCATGGACCAGGTGTTCATCCCTCTCAGGAGAGCATGGCTGATGTGTTCATTCATCTCAAGAGAGCATGGCCAATGTGTTCATCCACAGCATGGCCCAGGTGTTCATCCATCTAAGGACAGCATGGTCCAGGTGTTCATTCGTCTCAGGACAGCATAGCCAATGTGTTTCATCCATCTCAAGACAGCATGGCCAATGTGTTCATTCATCTCAGGATGTCATCGCTGATGTGCTCATTCATCTCAGGATGGCATGGACCAGGTGTCCATCCATCTCAGGACGGCATGACTGATGTGTTCATCCATCTCAGGACAGCAAGGCCCAGGTGTTCATTCATCTCAAGACAGCATGGCCGATGTGTTCATTCATCTCAGGAGGGCATGGCCGATGTGTTCATTCATCTCAGGACGCCATGGACCAGGTGTCCATCCATCTCAGGACGGCATGGCTGATGTGTTCATCCATCTCAGGATGGCAAGGCCCAGGTGTTCATCCCTCTCAGGACAGCATGACCGATCTGTTCATTCATCTCAAGACAGCATGGCCAATGTGTTCATCCACAGCATGGGCCAGGTGTTCATTCATCTCAGGACAGCATGGCTCAGGTGTTCATTCATCTCAGGGCAGCACAGCCGATGTGTTAATCCATCTCAAGACAGTATGGCCAATGTGTTCATTCATCTCAGGATGTCATGGCTGATGTGTTCATTCATCTCAAGACAGCATGGCCAATGTGTTCATTCACCTCAAGACAGCATGGCCGATGTGTTCATTCATCTCAGAATGGCATGGCCCAGGTGTTCACTCATCTCAGGACAGTATGGCCAATGTGTTCATTCACCTCAGGATGGCATGGCTGCTGTGTTCATTCATCACAGGATGGCATGGCTGATGTGTTCATCTAACTCAGGACAGCAAGGCCCAGGTGTTCATCCATCTCAGGACAGCATGGCTGACGTATTCATTCATTCATCTCAGGACAGCGTGGCCAATGTGTTCATTCATCTCAGGATGACATGGCCGATGTGTTCATTCATCTCAGGACAGCAAGGCCCAGGTGTTCATTCATCTCAGGACAGCATGGCCCAGGTGTTTGTTTATCTCAGGACGGCATGGCCGATGTGTTCATTCATCTCAGGACAGCATGACCGTTGTGTTCATTAATCTCAGGACGGCATGGCCAGTGTGTTCATTCATCTCAGGACGGCATGGACCAGGTGTTCACCCATCTCAGGACAGCATAGCGGATGTGTTCATTCATCTCAGGACGGCAAGGCCCAGGTGTTCATCCCTCTCAGGACAGCATGGCTGATGTGTTCATCCATCTCAGGATGGCAAGGCCCAGGTGTTCATCCATCTCAGGACAGCATGACCGATGTGTTCATTAATCTCAGGACGGCATGGCCAGTGTGTTCATTCATCTCAGGACGGCAAGGCCTAGGTGTTCATCCCTCTCAGGACAGCATGGCTGATGTGTTCATTCATCTCAAGAGAACATGGCCAGTGTGTTCATCCACAGCATGGCCCAGGTTTTCATCCCTCTCAGGACACCGTGGCCCAGGTGTTCATTCATCTCAGGACAGCATGGCCGATGTGTTCATCCATCTCAGGACAGCATGGCCGATGTGTTCATCCATCTCAAGACAGCATGGCCAATGTGTTCATTCATCTCAGAATGGCATGGCCCAGGTGTTCATTCATCTCAGGACAGCATGGCTGATCTGTTCATTCATCTCAGGGTGGCATGGACCAGATGTCCATCCATCTCAGGACGGCATGGCTGATTTGTTCATCCATCTCAGGACGGCATGACCAATGTGTTCATTCATCTCAGGATGGCATGGCCCAGATGAGTCTGTTTCTTATGAAGATGATGACATTCCAGATACCAGTGTAAAGGAGGCTGCCCCAACCTGCTGCCCAAGCCCACGCTGGAAGTCTCCTGGCCTCAGCATTCAAAAAGGCCACAAACACCTCCCATTGCTGCCCACTCAGTTTAACCCTACTGTGGCTGGCATGTGTGTGCACTGCAGTCCCCAGGGCCTTGGTGAGGGGAGGGTCATCACAGGACGCCTGCCTGGCCACCAGGAAGCCACTGTGGCACCGGCCACGTGCACATGGAGCCATGAGGTGTTGCGTGTGTGTGGCATCTTCCTCATGGGCACCTAGGAACCCGCTAAGCCCCAGGCAAACAACTGTGTCTGTTTCATGGCCTCGGTCACCAAATTCTACAAATCTATGTGCTACCCCACAGTATCTGAGGAATGAACATTTTAATGCAAGTCGGGAGGGGTGCAGGCAAATCCAGCACAGACTGATCTTCCTCCTTAAGGGTTTGCTCGTAGTCCTAAAAAACCCACTTCCAAAGCGCACCATGGTGAGAACTCCATTTCCTGCTCCCATGGCCGACTCTTGTTGCTGGGGTGCTTTTCTCTGAGCACCTCGGGCCCCACCATCCAGCCACAGTGGCAGCATGGCACACCCATGCCCTTGGCAGCGCCTGAGGCTGGTCCACAGCCTCCCATGAAAGATGTAAACTGCTGCAGCTGTAGGGCCCCCACACCTCCTCCTGCTGGGGCTCTGCTCTGCCGCCCTGGCCTGCTCTCCTGTCAGTGTGGCTTTGTGTTACCTGATGACTGGCCCATCAGATTTTGAGCTTCTTCGGAGGAGTGTAAAGGCAGCTTTTCTCCTGGAGAGCAAAGAAGAGACAGGTTTAATGTTTTGCCCTCAAGGAGATAAGCAGGGTCCCTTCAACTAGGGAAGCTCAAAATATGACTGGCGCACACACCGGCGCTCTCTCCGGCCACGGCCACAGGCATGGTACTGCCTCTGTGGGGAGGGACACCCAACTGCCAGGCACGCCAGGGGGAGGGGGGTTAGCCACAGGCATGGCACTGCCTCTGTGGGGAGGGACACCCAACTGCCAGGCACGCCAGGGGCAGGATGGGCTTGCCACGCATGGCCACCCTTGATGGCCTCATGACAGCGACTGGGCTGGGGCTGACTCGGGCCACTGCTCTCCTGGGGCAGGGCTGGGTGCCACCTTGGGATACGCAGTGGCTTCCTGCAGAATAGCATCCACGTCTGCTATGCTCTCGCTCCTGGAGAGAAAAGCCTCCAGGGCGGCCCAACGGGTACGCTCAGCAGGAGGGGCCACCCAGGACAGACTGTGGGCAGCACAGGGCACTGCCCAGCAAGTGCAGACCCTCGGTGGGCAGACATCTCTTCACAAGTAAGGCTATGGCAAGGCCAGCTGTAAGGTGAACTAGCTCCCCACAGTGGGAGCGAGACCCACATCCCGCCCCTGCCCTGTCCCCAGTCCCGGTCCCAGCAAGCCTGCTGCATGTGAACCCTGTACCACCGGCACTCACAACTCCAACTGCACCTGTTCTACACGCTGCACCGAATAACACAGCTCAGAAAGAGAAAGTCCCCAGGTGAGAAGAGAAGGAGGTGAGAAAAGGGCTGGGTACGTACCGGGGAAAGCGGGGTTGGTCTGTCCGAGGGGAGGAAAGGGGGTTTGCTGCATGGCCAACTGGTGGAGCTTGGTCAACTGCTGGGGTAGGAGGGACATGAGAGCTAAGAAGGTTATTGTCATCGAGTACAAGTCACACCAAATTAAAACGGCAGTAACAGAACTTTGCACAGATAGATAGAAAGAGGGCCATGCGGACACATGGCAGACGCAAGAGAACGCAAGGACTTGGCCTGGGGGAAGCCAATGGAGCCCAGGCAATGAGCAGGCCAATGCCCGGCGTGCAGAGAGCAGCACTGGAAGTCGCTGTCTTCTCTCCCTGGCTTCCTGGCAGCTCCAGCCTGGACTGGCCCAGCCTCCCTCTCACTGGCTGGTATGGACAGGAGGCTGGGGCCAGTGGGCCACGGAGTGTCTGGGGGAGTCCAGGAGCCACAGAGGAAACCCAGCTGTGCTTCTAGGCGATTCAAGGCCAAGTCACTAGTCACTAAAGTCCGACTAGCCCCTGTGGGATCCGAGAGGCACGAGTTTGCACACCTCGCCCCAGTCTCACCCTGTGCTAGGCCTGGCCCACTCCCCTCCCCTGCAGGGCCTTGCTTTACCCATTAGGCGACCTGGGGTGAGGGGAGCACCCAAGGGGCCACACACCTGCCTTTTAGTCACCTCCAAGAGTGTCTCGCCTCCCCTGGGATTACAGAACACTAGCACTAGAAGGTTCTGTGGAGGGTATGAGGGACACCTAGGGCCCTCAGCTGGGAGCTGTCTGTGCCCCTGGCCCCTGCAGGCTGCCCCCAGCCCTTCTCCTCCCATCCTCAAGCCACAAGACTTTTCAAGGGGGCTTTGATGCCATTTTTAAAGTTATTTTACCTGAGCCTCATTTCTTAAATAAAAACTAAAAATAGCAGAAGATAACGGTATGTGGCAAGGTGAGACTCAAAATTCTTCCACCCTTTGGAGAGCCAAGGGCTACTCAGCAGAGGGCATGGGGCTCCTCAGGCCTGGCTCTCCCATCAAGGATGGGTGCTGCAGGGGGTGTCCTGGGGCTCAGGAGGGCACCGGGCAAAGCTCCTCTGTGGTGCTGGCAGGCAGGGGAGGCGGCACATTCGGGGAGGGCACCACCTCCCCAGCATTTTCCCTTCAGAACATTCAGCCCAAACGCATCCCAGTGTGGCTGTGTGTGGACTCCTGCGACCCACAGCCAGGCAGGCAGCTCAGCTTCCTCACTGCACAGGGTGTGGGTGGCAGAACCTGCCACAGAGGCCACCAGTGCTTGGGGGTGTGGGCGCTCGGAGCAGAGCTGCTGTCCCCATGTGAGAAGGCCAGCTGCTGAGCACCTGACCAGACCCCCATGCTTGCCCTGGCCACCCCTGGAACCTGAGTTCCCTGACACCAGGGAGCAGTCAGGAAGGCGGCGACTGTGGTCCCAGCACCTTCCCAGCTGTGCACTCCTGGGTGGGTGTGCACTTGGCCTCCCAGGAGCAGGGAGTCCTCCCCTAAGAGTTCACCCAGAGTCAAGGTAAAGGCCCCTTCCTCAGTACCTAGTACCCTGGGAGGATGGGGGGCTGCTCCCCAGCCCTGCCCCTCCCCAACACCTGGCCTTGCAGCCAGGTGCTGGGCTGGGGGGCAGGGCAGGCCTGGCAGGAGGGGGCCGTCTGGTGGGCTGCAGCCCGTCTGGCCTCTTCTTGCTCCCACAGGATAGGGTCTGGTCCCCATGGCAAGCCCGTGGCCTCTGGCACACCTCTGTGTTCAGTGGAGAGCCATGAGATTGTAGGGTGTTTGTCGCCGCAGCCTGACTTTGCTCCCTGAGCACCTGCCATTGCAGACACATCTGGTGAGTACTTACACCAGGACAGTCTACCTCCTGGAGAGACGTGAGGCCCTGCAGGGACAGCAGGAGGAAGCAGGCATATCTGGGTTCCTAGTGAAGGCGCCCCACCTGGACAGGGCACGTCAGGAAAGACTGCAGGTGTCCCAGGCCAGGTAGGAGGACTGCAGGCAAGATCGCCTATGGTGGGGTGAGACACTGCTGGTGAATTCATCCAGTCATTGGACGCTGAATGGCACAGATGGGATCCACAAACCCCTGACTCCCAGTGGGGCTCAGGAGCTGCCCTGTGGCCAGGGAATGGGGTACAGGGGAGGGGCACCCCCTGGGCTCTACAGGGGTTGGAGTCAGCTCCAAGATGGCCCAGCCGGTTGCTGTGGCGATAGAAGGCCTGGTGTCTCCAGACCTCAGTTCCTTGAACTATAAAGTGAGGGAATGGATGTGAGTGAGCAGCAACTGTGGCTGTGGATGACAAAAAAGTCTCCCAATATGTTTTTGGCTTTTTACGAAGAAATGACCACACTAGCAAATAAATCTCTCTCCTCCCCACCTACAAATGTAGGGGACATCCTAGGGAGGTCTGGATTAGCACAGGGCGGTGCTCGGGGAGCATCTGTGGAGAGGATGGGCAGGTGCTCACCCTAGCTGTGCCCAGGATCAGTCAAGCCACTGAACCTCCTTTGGACTCAATTTCCACATTTTTTAAAGGAGAGAACAGGACTAAGTGCCAAGGGGCCTTCCACTTTTTGAGAAGATTCTGCCCTGTAAAAAAATGAGACTTGTGGTTCTCACCAGTACCTCCAAATCACCCGAGAGGAAAAGGGGGAAGAAAGTCAGGTAGCAGGCGGAACAGGAAGGGAAAGGGATCGCGAGAGGAGGGCAGAGGGGAGGCGAAGTAGAGAGGGAGGGGAGAAGGAGGAGAGAGAAGGCAGGGACGCAGGCAGGAGGGAGGGAGAAGTAGGGAGGGATGAGGCAGGGCAGGGGAAGAAGTAGGGGGGGAGAGGGAGAGGAGAGGAGGGGGGAGAGGGGAGAGGAGGGAGAGGAGGGAGAGGGAGGGAGAGGAGGGAGGGAGAGGAGGGCAGGAGGGTGGGCAGGGGAAATATCCCATTACTGATGTTTCTCTGTAAACTGTCTTTTCTACTTCACATTGTCTCGGAATGTAACACACAGACAACTACTAAAATTGCAACCATTTGTTAAGATGCAACTCAATGAATTAACACAAAACGAATGCACCCATGCAACTATCACTCAGGCCAAGAAACAGGTCCCCGCCACGGTGGTTCTAACCTGCATTCTATTTCATTTCCAGCAAAAGGCCTGTTTCTGTCATTCGTCCATTTTTCTTATTGCTTGATTTTTGTTGACTTCCCAAGAGCACCCAGCATTTCAGATGCCAGCCTGTCTGTCATTCCTGCTGCACAGATCTTCTCCCCCCTCTCCCATGGTGTCTTATAAGAAACGGTATTCTAACATTTCATATAGTTGAACTCACTGGTATTTTCCTTTATGGTCTGTGCTTACATTTTAAGAAATCCTCCCCTGACATGAGAATCGGACATTCTTCTATATTTTCTCCTAAAACTGCTCAATTTTTCTGTCTTGTGTTGGAGTTCTTGACACATGGGAAATGATTTTTGTTTATGGCAGGAAATAAAGATCAATTTCCCCACATAGTTGACCCACTGTCCTGGCACTGTGTGGGCCATCTGCCCTCTCTGCTCTCGTGGGCAGCTTTGTTCCGTCCAAGTATCGTGGATGGCTTCCTTCCTGTGTGAGGGATCCTGGACTCTCAGGTCTCATCCAGTCTACTTGTCTCCCACTGCACCAAAACCACACAGTCTGACATAGTCATCTCCGATGATCACAGTGCCTCCTTCTGGACACCTCCTGCAGGACCTGCCTGAGGCTGTTTTACAGCTAATTTTTTTTAGATAATTAGAAGGAATACACTAAAATAATGATAAAAAGCATAGTAATACACAAACCAGTAAAGCAGCTGTTTATCAGCGTATGAAGAATGATGAGCTATGCTTAACAGCAGGTGCTAGACAGCTGGCAGTGCAGTGGCTTTGCACTAGCAGCACACATGGGGGTAACGTGCTGCAATCTCAGGTCAGCTGCAAGGTCTCCAGGCAACAGTAATTTCTCAGTTCTACTATACTCTCATGGGGTCACCATCGTCTATGTGGTCTGATGCTGGCTGAACTGTCATGTGGTGCATGACTGTAACTGCTTTGTACTAAGACAGTGTGGACGATACAATTCCAATTTTTGAAAGATGATGAGATATGCTTTATGGTCTGGTACGTGATCAGGTTTTGTAAATGTCTCCATGAATTCTACAGTTGTGGGGGTGTAGTGTTCAAGGTACGTCAGTTACGTCAGGATCATGGATAGTTCTGTTGATGCCTTCTTCACACTTGTCTACTTGACCTATCACTCATGGAAAGAGAGGTGTGCCAAGTTTTTGCTATAATGTCTGTCAAATTCTCTATGTTTTGTCAATTATTTTCTTTACATATTTTAAAGCTATGTTTTAGGCATGCATAAATTTTGAAATATCTTCTTGTGAGCTGACTTTTCTATCAACATGTAATGATTAAAGTTTTTCTCTTAAAGTCTTGTTTTTTTCCCCTACTGATGTTAATATTGGTACACCAGTTAATTTTGTTGCCTATTCCTTAGCCTTTTTCCATTCTTTCATTTTTTTCTGGGTCCTTATGCTTTAAGTGTATCTCTTGAAAGAAAAAAAAACAACAAAATTATTTTTGCTTGTTGGTTTGCCTATTTGTTCAGCTTAAAAATACAGTCTGGCAGCCTTTGCTTCTTAACTGGAATTTCATAATTTTACTTTGATCACCATCATCCACATGTTTAGACTAATTTTTGACACTTGTTTTCTAATTGTCCTGCTTTTCCAGGGTTTCTTTTTGATTTCACTCCTTTTCTTCTTTCGGATTAATAATTTCCCCCTCACTTGTTTCCCGTCCTGTCACAGAGGTTATGTATCGGACTCCTTTGTTGTTAGTGGCCATTGAAATTTTAACATGTGCGTTGAGAGTCTACACTCAGTGTCTTCACCCTGCAGTGGAATGAGACAGAGACCTGCGGATGTTCACATCTCCTCGCGCACACCTGATCTTAATGTACTGTTTGTATCCACTCGACTGTTTCGGGTGTTCGCATCTCCTCACGCACACCTGATCTTACGTGTGTTTTTACCCACTCAACTGCTGCGGGTGTTCGCATCTCCTCA